TTTTAAAAGCTACTAGTTATATGTTTGGCATGACAATTTTTAAGAGCTTTTAAAAAATTAAAAGATCTTTTTTGAGATGCTACACGCAGTAGCATCTGAAAAAAGCCCATGAATTTTAGTATTAATTAGCCCTAACAGCTTGTATACCAAACCGAACTAAATCAAACAGTCAACTTTTTATCAAACAGCTACCACCTTTTCTTTTTAAAATCTTTTCAGTCACCAAAAGCTAACAATTATTAAAAAGATCACAAAAGTATCTTTTCAGTGCCAAACATACCCCTAATCTCCTAAAACGCATCCACTAATATATCTTTTAGATATGAAAAAAATATTCTAAAAGCATAAATGAACATATTTAGAATTACTGTCTAGTTAAACTCTTGTAAGTTTATTTTATATCTATATTTTGGTGAACGATTTTCAGGAGACATGTATCGATTTTAAATTTATATGTAAAATACTTACTTTCATGGTTCATATTAGGAGTGGATAAGGTTCCAGTCCCAGGTTTAGTTCGAGAAAGGCTAGTTTTCAATGAAGACCGGACGGGGACTGAGAAATTAGGATCTTGGTCGTCACCAAGACTACACCGGTGAAGCACTAACGATGGGGATCCCTTTAAAAGCAGACAAAGAAAGTGAGAAGGAGGTGTAGGGTCAAAAATATATAAAAATTATTCCCTCCCTCTCGAATTGTAAGACATTTTACGGTTTACGATGTTTGACCGACGATAAAGTAAAAGGATTCATGTTGTACTCAAATTGTTTTTAGAAAAAAAGAGAATTACATATTCGGAAACTACATTAAAAGCTTCACAAAGTCGCAAAAACTAGAATCAAATTTGATTAAAATTTGATATATAAAGTAAGAGATTAAGAGTGATTTGTCTTGACCAAGTGAATAGAAAAAATATCTTACAAAATGGGACTGAGAGAGTAATTAATAACTAGGACTGACTGGGGGGATAGAATCGGAAATATAGATCCCTTTTCCAAGACTACAAACGGCCTAAAACCGCACCGTGTCCACCCCTAACTAACATGTAAAAAATTTCATATTTTGTCAAAGATTGATATAAAAAAATATTAATGTACAAGTTACTTTTACACGTATGATGATCTCATTCCTGGTGAGCACAAAGGCTGTCAAAAGTAACATTTAGGGATGTTCGTTGATTCGAATTTCTATAGTAAATTTGAAAATGGTGGAACCGAAAAAAGAAATATATTATTTGAGTCGGTTTTCGGTTGGTCTATTTCAATTTTTGATCAACTTTATGTCTTTAACATGTTTTGATCATTTTTTGACAATTCAGTCAATATTCAACTCCAAATTCATAAAACAAACTACCTAGAGTGAGATTAATTAGTTTTTGTAATTTACTATTTTAATATGTTCAATTTTCAATGAAAAGTCTTGAATATGGACAAACTTATTTAGTTACCCGATCAAATATGTAGCTAAAAATGTAATTAAAAGTGGATATTAGGGAAAACTATCAATTTGATCTTTACACTATCACTAAAACGTCAATTAAGTTCTTGTACTTTAAAAAAATAATCAAATCCCCAACTTTGAAAAAACGTTCAATTGAGTCAAATTAACAGGTCACTCGTCACGTCATCAAGTCACCTGCCGCAAATTATATCGTGGCATCGGTGTAGCGTGCGCATACTGCACCCATCCCAAAACGGCAGCGTATTATTATTAATTTAAAAAGAAAACGAAGCCTTATTGTCTTCTCCGGCCATCTCGAAAAAACGGAGCAGGCAAAAAGTTTCTCTTCAATCTCAGGGCAATTTTTTCTCCGTGCCCATAAATTTGTTTCGTTTCTAGAGGAAACCTCTGTATTGAATCTGGCGAGTTCTTGTCATCAAAATTCTTGGCAAATTTGATTCGTCATTAAATATAATCAAGTCAGTGGAGTTCGCCTCTTGAGATCTATACTAATAATTGATGCCGGTAGCAACACCGGCTTGAACCTCGAGAGAAGCCCTGTCACTAGCCCTTCTGTAAACCAGTATTTTATAATTTATTGGCTATTCTATTTCCATGAATATTTAGAGCTTATATTAGAAAATACTACATAAGCATTTCCGGCGCACATGATATGCTGCAATTAAGCTCCACATTAGGGATTTATTTGTTTGGAATCATATGTATATATTACAAAATGGAGATACATTTTTTTGTGCACGAGTTACATCATATCATTTAATACGCAAGTTACAACTTATTATGCACGAGTTATATCTTCTTATACGCAAGTTATATACATTTTTTCAGATGTGTAAGCTACATGTGGACCAATTAATTTACAACTGAATTAACTTTAATTTCATTCCCAATATATTACAAAATTTTACTAATCTACATATAATAAGTACCCGTAGTATATTGTATGTATTTCATAATCATACACTATTTTTTACCTTTATTTTTCTTCTATTGAAATTACAGTTAAATTCATTTTCTCTATGATATTTTTTATATTTATATACTTTTTGTAATATATTTTTCATATTCATACGCGTTTTTCTATAGTATACATTTTTAGTGTTTTTAGAACATTAAGTTTGTTTGTTTTGATTTAAATTTGACAAAACATGAAATTACATTTTCATATGTGTGATTTACATTTTCATATGTGTGATTTACATTTTCATATGTGTCACTTATTTTTATAGACAATTTCTCGAGTTATATTGGATAATATATGAAATTACATTTTCTTATGTGCGATTTACAATTTATTGTGCGCGAGTTACATCTTCTTATGTGCGACTTATATCTATCTTATTACGGAGTATATATTTAGATGTATCTCAACAAGTCAACAAGTTACCTTTTCCATACAAGTAAGTTATATTTTTTATTAGCACGAGTTACATTTGTCATAATGTGAGTTACATTATAGAATAAACCCTTCTCATTGAAATTAAAAAAAATGAATTATAAAATCATTTAAACAATCATTTAAAAAATAAGTAAACCATTTTTATAGTCATGATACCAAGAACAAAATATATTCACTATTTATGTAAAGTAATTGAGCAATTAGACTTCTTGTTTTCATTGTTTACATTGAAATCAATGTTTTATTTTTTATAATACGTATTACACAAGTTACACTTCAACTTGCCTGGAATTACATTCTTATCAACATGAGTTACATTTCTTTACACGCGAGTTACATCACCCTGCTATTAGGATAAGGGAAAGAACAAAAATATGGTTACTTTTCACGCGCGTGAACAGTAACAAGCGAATTTTGCCTTTAGGAGCACCATGCTCATCGTGGGTTGCTCCCACGTATAACAACTGGTCACCTGCTGACGTGAAATACATGGAATCCCAATCATCTTTTCTGATGACGTGACGCATACGTGGACCACCACGTGTGTGCCAGATCAGTGGGTGAGTTGTTGACATGGCATGTAACCTACTAATTGACTTAATTGAATTTTGTTTCAAAGTTCAAGAATTTGGTTGATTTTAAGTGACGTTTTCATGATAGTACAAAGATTAAATTGGCAATTTTCCTCAGTATAACCAAAAGTTACGGGTTAATGCATATTTTTTATTGTGGAGGGGGTAAATACATCAATCCTAAAGGTGGTTGATAATTTCCTATTTAGAATAGACAGTTTTGATTCATTCTTAATTTATCTATACTTTACAAATTTAATATAAAACACATTATTATATTTTTTTAATAATAGTGTCACTTTTTCGTGTGTGAGTCTTATTATAACGAAATTAATAATAATTAAATTGTATTCTTTCTCTTATTTCCATTTTCATAATATATGTCAAGTGTAATGTCAATTATATTGGGATTGAGATGAAACTTGTATTGTTTCTCTGTGTGTGTCATCCTTAGGCACTATGCAAGGACCATGCTAATATTATGTGTCAGATGTCCTCGAACAAACTTTATCACTATATTTATATCAATCCAAACTTGGAGTAACATTGTAACAATATTACTCCCTTCATTCCTGATTAAACTTCAAAATTCCTTTTTGGGCATTCCAAAATAAATTTTCACTTTCCCTTATTGGTAAAGAATTTGTGATTCTAACTCTTCACTACACAATACTCAATATCTTAACTTCTGTACCAAATGTAGTTTGTGTTGGGTGTGTTTCGGAAAATAAAGAAAATTAATTAAAATAAATTAATTAGAATGACGAAAGAAAACCAGAAATGAGATGGAGCAGAAATCAGTCAAAGCTCGTGCTACGCACGATGTCCTTAAAACGTATTTGTTGTCTCCCACGGTGCTAGGAGCGTTGCAACAATCGTTTCCCAGGATACGATGACTTCGAACTAATGTTTGAGAACACAAACAAGAGTTCCAGCGAACGAGAACACAGTATGAACACTCAGGGAATTTTCGGAATGTTGGAGGTGTTTTTTAGCTGAAGAAATACGTGAGCTAGTGTGTATCGTGTAAGATCATGTGCTGTTGCAAACCACCTGCCAGCCATTATATAGAAGGATTTGTTGTGTGTAAATGGTGAATTAATGGACCTGAACGTTGGACATCAATGACCAGTCTGTTGGGCATTGAATCGTCCATGAACTGTCCCGTTAACGCTGCATTAAAAGATAAGAACGTTGGGCATTTATTGTTGTAACAGTTCAGATGCGCGACAGAAGACCTCCACCAGAACACCCCGGGAGGGGTTCTGTTCCGAGGCCAACAGAAGACCCCCAGAGGGGTGGGGTTATACTTTTGACGTAGATGTAACAACACACTGAGAACTACAAAGTATTGCATTAGATTGGTTTTCTACTTTTCTGTAACACTTTAAACAAGTGTTATCTATTTTGTTTTTTACTAACATAAATTTATATATATTAATGATCAAAATTGTGTCTCAATAAGTGTGAAACGTTGACCATTGCATTTATTTAAGAACGAAGGAAGTAATAAACTATTCAAACAATCTTATAATTACCTAATGAAGCAAAATTAATTTACTAGCAAAGTTTTTTTTGAAAGAATTTACTAGCAAAGTTTACACCCATATACTTTTAACACAAAATAAGCTAATACCTTTTACAGTAATTTTACACTCAATCAGTCAGCCAACATATTACCAAACACTTTCACTTCAGCACATTCCGCCGTTGCAACTGTTACCGAACAGGCCCTTACTTTAATCATTAATCACATAATCACTGAAATTTCTTCATCATTTCTTTGACTTATGACAAATAATTACATTTCTCAATGTTAGGTTTTCAATTGTCGCCTTGTCGGCCTTCGGGGATTTTCGAGCCATTCCTTACTCTCTTAATCATTACTCATTAGATACCTGATGACTATGATTTCCTCATCATTTCTTTGAAATTACGACTTAATTCAGACCTACAATAAAGCATTCAACGCAGCAGGGCCAAAAAATCTGTCAAAATCAATTTTTAATGATACTATAAATGCTAAGACGACAACCAAAGTACCAAACTGTTTACTTTTTCCTGTGAATGTTTTGTAATTGTTTTGATTTACTTTGAAATCCAAACAATATGCTATGGGTTACAGGACATTTGAAACATGGCAGGACAATCTCTACTATAACTAGAATACTAGATCATCATACTATTATCGAATTCTTCTTCACCTTATAACTTATTCTTTTGATGCAGGTCTTTTTTCAAGTTTTGTAGTACTCAGGAAAATATGACAGACATATTGTGTGACATTATATCCCTATATAAAATACTACGTAGTTTCCAAAGTTAAATATGCACAGTAATTTCCACCTACACCCTAAGGATAAGTCCTGATTTCATTTGTTTCCTTCAGACTTTCCTCCAGATCTTGAAAAAATGGTGTTGGGTTTAATTAAATTATCCTGAAGAATAATTTCCCCTGAATCTTGTTACAGAGTGCAGATTTTCGGTCCTTTCCACAAGACCTAAAAGCAATATTATAGATCCAGAACAAGCAGAGACCAGAGACCCTCGTTTTTACAAGCAGGAGTGCGTTTTTTAGGAAATTACTGCCATCTTTTGGAAAGTTTAGTTGTAGAAGAGCTTCCTGTAATCGTCTTTTTTGAACCTGGAGGGTAGAAAGAATAACCAATTCCATTAATACCTTTAAAATGGAAAGTACAAGAAAAAAGATAATTACAGCCAAAATGTGAAATACGAGAAATTGTATACTTGAAACTTTAGAGGCAGTTTTGCTCGATGACAATTGAGACAGCCGCGCCGCCGACTTTGAGGTCTGCTTTTCCGGCAATCTTGTGGGTTTCGTTGGAATACTGGGCCTGAAATCACTTACCAACCAACATAATCAAGCGTCTTCATTTTGGTCAAGAAATCTTAGTAGTGTTAGTAGTGTCATGCAGTTTTATCCGTGTTCTAATTGTAAAATAAGATAAATTAGGCCTTCCAGAATTCAGAAGCAAGAATATCTTGCCCACAAATATATTTTGTGTACTTAAATAATGTGGAGCAATTCTCAAATAAGTCTAAAACTGAATGATTTCAAGAGAGCATCTATTTCTGTTAAAAAATTGCCCTAAATAGGAGTAAAAATGTTTATGAATTCCAAAATAAGACTGCCATGTTTTTATTCCCTACATTAGAGCAATTACTGCAATGTTTTGGCAGATATTACTCTTATTTAGGGAATAAAAATGTGGCAGCCTATTTTGGAATTCCAAAACATTTCACTCATATTTCGGGAATTTTCCCTTTCTGTTTTCCCACCATTACTCTTCTCCAACGCAAAATAGTAAATAACATTTCAAAAAAATAATATGGGTACTATAGTCATATTACAGTACTTTTACTTTCTTAATGTGTCCAAAGTCCAAACATTTAAAAACAAAAGTCATTAGAAAACGCTAAGGGTATGTTTGGTTCAAGGAATGTCAGATTACCATGGGAATGTTAGATTGATGGGTATGTTAGATTGATGGGAATGTATTCAATTTATTCCCACTTGTGTTTGGTTAACATCAAGGGAATGCCAGATTGCTGGGTATGTTAAATTGATGAATTACTTTTATGCCCTTTAAATATTTTCTCTTAACGCAATAAATGTATTACAACATACATCTAAAGTGATTAAAATTAAAAAAAATGAATGTCTTAATATTAAATAAAATCAAACCTAATTGAATTATTTTTAAGTAAAATATGTTTAATTGTAAAAAGTTGTAGATCCAATACAGAAATGAAAAAAACTTTGTTCAAATAGTAATATAAATATATTTATTATCATCTCAAAAAAATTAATATTTAAAAATGATCAAGTTAATCGTAAAAGTTGTTTTCAAAATAAAGAAAAAATGACCAACTTTGCTATTAAATTTTGAAATCCACTAATCAAAACTTAAATAATCTATAACTCTTATAACATAAATACCTTAAAAAATTTAAATGATAAGGAAAAAATTATGCAAATAACGAGAATAGACATTCGAATATAAGCAATACTCCGTCCGTCCCACCTAAAAGGTTGTTACACAATTTACGATGTTCGACAGACCATGAAATTAAACTAACCGATCTCTGTCAATAATAAGATTATTTTTAGTAAATAAAATTTACATATTTAGTGACTACATTAAAAGTTTTATAAAGTAAAAAAAATCAAATTTGATAATAATTGAATATATAAAGAAATTAAATGAAAAGAGATCATTAATTGAGGGTATTTTCGGAAGAAAATTAGATCACCCCGGGAATGTGAGATAACCTAAGGCATGGACGGGTTTAAGATTCCCATCCATATTACATTCCCGGGAATGTAACTTTCCCGATTTCTTTTTAAACCCGTGAACCAAACAAGGGTATCTAACATTCCGTGCATCACATTCCGGCCTTCATGTGAGATCACCCCAACCAAACGGACCCTAAGAGTAACAGAAAGACTTTGTAATCGGCTCAACCCATCGGGGGATAAAGATCAAATAAAATGAGTGAGCACTTACTTGTCAGCTACTTCCGAAGGAGTATTAGAAACTCCAGATAAAAACGAGTGCTCTATAATACTATTGATGGAATCCGCTTCTGTTCCCATAGAAAGAACACTATCAGAAATATCACTCAATCTTTCTTCAGAATCTCCGTCAGCAAATCCTATGAGCTCCTTATCATCATCTTCTTCCCCAAAGTCTGGACCCGCAATCACCATACCTGACCTTGATTCTTGAAGGAATCCACTGTGATGCCTAAACTCATCCATTGACCGCTGAGAACCAGCTTCAGAAAGCCTATCACTGTTATACTCTGAACTATTTTCCGAAGCAGCTTTCTCAGAAAGTCTAGAACTTCGCTCTCCTTTGCGGCTTTGTAGGACCCCCCCTAGAGAATGACGTCCTGGAGATGGCGGCCCGTTCCTTCGTGCATTAAGACCACGCCTCTCATCATTTGCAGTATTGGTTCTTCGTATCCTCAACCGTCCTATTTCCTCATCTTTCTTTGCAATTGTGCTCTTTAGAAAAGCCACCTGCATTCATCAGTGATAGAATGTACAGACAGCTCTATTCGATTGATAATTTTTTTTACAATTTCCTATATTTTCGTGAATTTGGGGACAAAACAATATACTAGGTTATTTGCATTTCTCGTTTTCTTTAAAAAATGGCCTCCTTTTTGGAAAAAGTAAGATCCTTTCATGTAAGACTCCCCCTGTTTTTATGGCTTAAACTGGCAGCTAAACATCATAAATCATGCATAAAGTGACAACTTATTTCCCAGCACAATTTTTTGTGTGCCATCAAAGAGGGTCAAAAGTCTCAAACGTTTCATGATTTTAAGGTTTAGCAGTAACAGAATGGATAAATGATGGAGAACTACTATGAGCGTGTTTTGGGTGTTTTGGATGATGATAAGCGTGTTTACTTTAAGTGCTTAAATGAAAGCACTTTCAGTGATCAAATGAGAAAGCACTTCTAACAAAAGCACTTGCAGAATAATTCATCCCAAATAAAGCTTTTTAAAAAGAAGCACTAGATAAAAGCATTTCAAAAAGAAAGCACTTTTAGTGCTTAAATGAGAAAGGACTTCTCACAAAAGCATTGCAGGATAATTCATTCCAAACAGACTCTAAGTCAAACCAAAGATGCATTTCGAAAACATTCAGGGTGAAAGTACCAAAAAACATCAAAGCAGGGACAACTAAACAAGGCCCTCCATTAAGTACCTGATCCATGAGCTCTTTTACACCTCTTCCCTCCTTGTTACTCCTTGCCGCTCCTAGCTCAACTCCAGATACACGTTCAGCAAACTTTAGAGTACTTATAGTTTCAGAATAAGACTCCGCGTCAGGATTTAACTGAACAAACATGAGTGTCTTTGCATGGCCACCTGATTAATAGTACCAACCAGGATAAAGTTGTAGTGAAGCTCAGAAACAAATATTCGGGGAAAAAAAATCTGAAACGAATATAGTGCTACTGTGTTTGGAATCAAATCAATCAATAAATTAGTTTACAGCCATATTACAAAAAAAAAAAAATACCTAAAGAGCTTTGAAGAACTTGTGTCAGTTTACTATTTCTGTATGGTACATGAGAACTTTTATGTGCTAGAGCGAATATCACATCCCCCAATGCAGATAAAGATTTGTTTATGTGTTGTGCTTCCCGTAATCTATCCCCTGTGGCCTCGGATCTATCGATTCTTTCACTACCAGCAAGATCTACCAAATGTAGACAACCACGTAAAACCCCATCTGTCTCCAAATCCATCCCACGTACATGAACAGTAAGTACACTGTTTCATGCAAATGAAATTAACATCATGTCCCGGAAGAAAAAGAGTTCAAGCAAAATATATATTAAAATGATTATTAGAAAGGTACCTGTGGGACCGACTGCTTCTTTCGTTGAGAGCAGTAGCACCAACAGCTCTATTCATTAAACCAATTTTCATCAACTCTAAAACATCTGTTGTTGATTTAACAGGATGCATGCTAGCATCAGGGACAGCTAACCCATTTGGTTGGGTAGTATTCCAGATCCCAAGCGTGTTGCAAGTTAAAGAAAACATTCATAAAGACGTAACTATAAAACACGCATTTTTAGAGGTTTAATTCAGCCAACACTCAGAGTTCATGGGCTGAAAATGAGTGTGGCAGTGAAATGTGTGTATGTGACTGAGCATAAAAAAGGGCAGCTCGGTGCACATTGGCTTCCCCGCAAGGCAAGGGTCCAGGAAAGGGTCCATCCATGAATGTGTATAAGGAGCAAATCTTCCCTTTTCATTTTTTACAAGAGGCTGCTCCCAAGACTTGAACCCATGACCTCTCTATCACACATCAAAACCTTCACCGGTGTATAGGGAGCAAGTCTTCCCATCATATGTGACTATGAGCATGTCTGAAGAAAATAAATCTACAGCATCCGAAATAAATAGGTAAAGACATGAATTGCCATTCATAGTAATGACAAAAGCAGTTTGGAAATTCAAACTGGAAACACTGGAAGGATATCTTTTCTGGGTACTTTCGGTGCAGAGCAAGTCACGAACTTGTTCATTATATATCTCAACCATTTGAACACCAACTTCATATGCTATAGAGCTTTTCCTGCTTTGAGAAATGAGGAATAGATCATTCAGAGCTCGGTAGTTCACACCCCAATCCTCCATAGATGACATGTTGGGTCCACTCTAATGAAATAAAAACTAGAGTCAGACTGGTAATGTGTAAACAACCACCTACTACTGGTTGAATACTTGAATAGATGTTCAAACAAATGGCATTACCATAGTATATGTTTTCCCAGAACCAGTCTGGCCATAGGCAAAGATGCATACATTGTACCCATCAAGAACAGATCTGATTAAAGGTTGGGTGTCTCGAAATACATCCTCTGTAAAACAATTCAGTAAATAAAATGAAAAGAACACACATATTGTGGTTTGACATTTTTTCTTGACGTAAAGTGCTTCTAGAAATCAGAATTGGTTAAAAATTGCTGAACTACTAAAGTAGAATCAGAAACCTTGAGTAGCAGTAGGAGAAAAGACTTTGTTGAATTTGAAGACACGGTGGCTGTCTTTTCCTTGCTTCAAAGGATTCACAACAACCAGTTCTCCATTATCACCAATGTAGTCCATAGTTGTTCTTATCTGGCTTTGGTTTGGCAAGAATGGCCGTATTCGGCAGTATACTCTGATGTTCCCTAAAATCACAAAGAAGTTAAAGCCATCTTAAACACTTTTTGTATAAAACAAATTGAGTGAATCAGTGAGTGTGCGCGCGTATTTGTTTCATGGCATTAACCTTTCAAGTCTTGCACCTCATTGTATAGTCTTCTATTCTCGTCAAGCACTGTATGGTAATTCTGAGCAGCTTCTATTAACCCGTTGAGATCTAGTCCTGATATAAAATAATAGTTTTATGACATTATGGAAGATGCCATTAAGCATCCACAAGTTACTAATGATCATTAAGTTAGTCAACATTCTAACCAAAGCGGTTTAGTTCTTCAGCATAGATCTTCTTGGTCTGCAAAACTTCCTGCTTCAAGGACTCAGATGCCATTCTCAGTGCCTGATACAAATCTTCACTGAGATGTAGGCATGATAGTTATTTAGTAATGATAAGGCATAAGATTAAAGATTAATGGAAACCTGTAAAGATCTAAACTGAGATTCTATAAAGACTTTATAGCCATATTCTTTCTTTTGCCATGTCAGAAACTTTGATTCTGAAAAGGCTTCAAGCTCTTCCACCTTCTTCCTTGAATCACTTAGAAGACACTCAAGTTCCATAATCTTCTTCCCTAACTCAATTCTAGTTTTATCTGTTTGTGATTCTAGCTGCAAGCATTTCTCTTCATGTTTCTTTTTGGTTAACTCCAAATCATGGTTTAATGAAGAAATCTTCATCTCATAATTATCTTTATCTTTCTTAAAATCACTGATTTCTTGCTGTCTACGTTTGTCCTTCTCCTCAAAATCAACCTTCGCAATCTGTAGACAAAAATAAAGTGGAGTATTAATGGAAGCCCATCCAGCCTATGCAAAAAAAATATCTTTATACATGGTAAGCTAGTTGTAATAACTAAAAATTATAGAAGAATGAACCAACCAAAAAGATTAAGAAAGTACATTCTAAGTGCACACAATGAAATCAAAAGTTATGCAGCATTCAAGTTCATGATTAATAATACCTCGTGTTCTTCGGCAGTTCCTGTTCTAAGGGTCTCTAAAACCCTTTCTCTTAATTGATGCTTTAGTTCGTGAGACTTGTAGAGGCTATTTTGCTGCATGTGAGAGTTGTCAATAATTAATAGATCAGTAAAGCCGATTCTGTATTCCAAGACTAAATGATTAATTGTCAGAAGCACACATACCTTTTTCAAATTTTCTGATTGTTTTGAAAACCGAAGCTCAATTTCTTGCAGAACTAGCTTTAGCAGCGATGTTGCAGACTGAAAATATAGGGGAAACCAGATTGGTGAGTGATTTAACCTTTAAAATGATCTCCCTCACTCCCACACACAAACCTAACTGGGAAACCAATGTGATTTACCATACCTGAGGAATATCTCCATTCTTTCTCTCTATGTTTTCATCTAGAATGTAATTCACAGCACTGAATAATGACCGGGTAGAGGAACTCTGGACATTGAAAACAGTAGAGATAAGAGCAATCACATGACATTAGATACACAAATTGATTTGAGAAATCATAAAACAGGACATAAAGGGCCTTTCAAGATTGTTGCAAGAAACATTAGGCAGTGATTAAGGACTGAGGACTAATCCTGGCCTAGGGAGGTTTTTTTACACCGATGCATTTAAGTATTTACTCCAAATCCTAACATACCTCCAAACTCTTTAGCTTCATCAACTCTGAGATCTTGTACGCTGGGATGTCTGCACATCCAACCGTCAAGTGGAGTACATCAGGTATACTACTTACAGCATGATTATTTGATGCAGATAGTTCTAAGAGAAAACAAAAACAAACAAGTAAGGAAAGTATATTACAGACAGTTGCACAACATTTGAACAGAAAACAACATTTACCAACTTAACTTGGTATAAGTCACTCCATTGCAAAGACAAGGTGTCATTTGGTATAATTTTTCTGTCTTCTTTTTCCAAAGACTGAAACAAGATACTTCCTCTGTATTTATTGTTTGCTACAATAGGGTTTGGCACAATATTTAAGGGAAAAATAGTAGGGGTAGTGAATAGTGTAGAAAATGTAGGAGAGAAGGTGGAAAAGTATAAAAGAGAATATGAAAAGTAGAAAAGGTAAAGGTAATTGAGTATTTTTAAAGGAAAAACTTACCAAAGAGGGGAAGTGTAGCAAAACAAAACTTCACCAAAAGGAAAGTGCAGCAAACAAAAGAATGCGGGGTATTGTGTTTCCCAACATTGTATGAATATTATTTGAAACAAAGATCTATTGTATCATTTTTTAGAAAAAAATGACACTCATCATAGGACTTAGAATTTTATAGAAAGTAATACTAACGTTTGACAACTTTGAACTTTTGGTCAAATGTGTACAACTTTGGCCACAAATTAATCTTATACAAAAAGATACTACATACGTAGTATATAACATGAAACTAATATATAAATGTTCTTTGTTACAAACACCCTCATTAAATTAAAGATAAATTTTAAAACAGAAAAGGTTTGACCATAAAAGGATAAATTGACAAACCTTTTAGGAACAGAGGAATATATTCCGTTGTAAATAATACGTCATACAAATTATGTATCCAAAACAGATATACCAGAGTACCAAGAGTGTTATATCTTGTACAAATTTGAAAACAAAAAAAAAAACAATTTAAAAACAGAAGGCAGGAAATGTTACCAAATAAACTGTATATAGAAACTGCAAAAGGCACACACTATTTTACCTGTGGCCATATTACTGAAGCAATCTATCTGCTCAGAAGCATTAAAGTTACGAAATGCATTGATGTTGGCTTGTTCTCCTTTTTCAGCCACAGGCAATTTGGACTCTATATTCATGATGAACTTGATATCTTTGGATACAGAGATGAGAATACTAGTATTCTACAAGTTAACCATCCACCAAATGCTCATCAGTCAACAAGAAGCTTAATAAACTAAAAAAAAAAATGAATCTTATTTCACAGGTTATAGACATTAATTTATGTTGATGAGTTGATCTTGAAACAGATTCATGACCATAAAGTCAAAATGGAGTACTATACATATGTACTATGTAATTGACATATCAGCAACACATCATCAACTACATTGCCGAAACAGTAAAGAACCGGATGAGTTTCTAATAACAAGGTGTATCAATTCTAGGTATTGACGTGTTGTTACAATTGCATGTAGGGTGGGATTTTGGAACCGGGAACCATAGAACCGGTTGGAACTGAACCGTTATAACCCGGTTTGGTTCGGTTCTTACAAATATGGTATTAGAAGTTAACGGTTCAGTTCCTAGTTGTTACTTACGGTTCGGTTCCTGGTTCCTATAAAAAATATGCGCACGGAATCGTTAAGGAACCGTTAGTAAAAAATAAAAATAAAAATTGTAATTGTAGTAGTGATAGTAATAGCAATAATATCAACAATAGCAATAGTAGTACAATCAATGGTATTTAGCCAACTATTGTAATTTAACCAACGAAAACAAAAGTAATCAATATTGCCCATGAGATTGAATGCGTTAAGCTCATTTTTACAAATCAAGTTTTGTTACATCCCATAAATTTTATAAATATAAAATAACTCAAATAACTTGTAGTTGATTGCATATATTTTACTTCACTATCTTCATAGTATTTGTAAGTTTGTAACTATTAGATTTATGGCTAAAAGTTCAAATAGGCCCTTGAACTTACTTGAAGTGTTCAATTAGCCCCTTATATAGAAGGTTCTGCCCGGCCGTCGCTAATTGGGGTGGTTCCCGGTGGAATTTTTTGATGAGATTTTCTGAGAATCTTCTTCATTAAGTCTAGTTTACCCATACCAAATTTGAGCTAAAAATTCAACCGGGAAGGCAGTCAAATGATTTTCCGAAATGTACTGCGCTGTTTAACTTCGCAGTTGTTTTCAAAAAATCATTTGACTACTTTCTCGGTTGAATTTTTAGCTGAAATTTGGTATGAGTAAACTAGACTTAATGAAGAAGATTCTCAAAAAAAATCATCAATAAAATCCACTGGGAACTGCCCCAATTGGCGACGGCCAGGCAGAACCTCCTATATAAGGAGTCAATTGAACACTTTAAGTCAGTTCAAGGGCCTATTTGACCCTTTAGCCTTAGATTTATTGTAATTTATACTACTAGCAAACACAGTGTACTGATACTTTTATATCTTTGCACGCAAACTCAATGTATTTTTTAAGTTTTGAAAGATTCGAAGTGGACGTCCTATCTTCGTAGCTACTGTGATGATGACCAACCTTCATTGTTACCACATAACAAAGATTTTTATGTTCTACTTATTAAATGAACGAAAATTGAAATATTCTTTCATTCTATTAAGTGTTCACTTAGTTAAGTTTGAGCTTTGATGTTTGAAGTGATCAGAACTTTAAATAAAATTTTAGTGCTTGTGTTTTGAATTTTTTTACATATTTATGTGTTAGAAAGCAAATAATGTCCTAATTCACTACATGAGAAAAAAATTATTCGAGGAACCGATAAAAACAAGAACCGAACCGCTTGTTATTGGTTCGGTTCCATAACGGTTCTTGATTTTTTACATAAGAACCGAACCGATTTCATTAGTTAAATTTTTATAACGGTTCCACGAATTTTGAGTAAGAACCGAACCAGTCCCAAGCCTAATTGCATGTAGCTTGAATATAAAATATATTGATTTTCTCGAGTTGATTAAGTCACTATTGGTTGTACGGAACACAAAGACTTTAGAAATCTCTAGACCCTCAAATCCAGATCATTCCACCTCATAATCATTGTATATATGTATTTGGAAAACAAAACTTTCACTGAAACAAGTAGAAGCTTTCATTTCATCAAACCTAAGAAGTTGTTGGCTTACTGCTACTCGGTCAAGGGCGGAGTAGCGAGTAACCGAGTAGGACTGGTTCTAGTAATATATTAGTCTTATAATTCTTAAATATGAATAAAACAACGATAATCCTAAAAATTAAGTCCCAAGAAATCGCAACAATCATAAACGTTCTAACTTCCAAGAAAATCAATCACCCTAATTGTAATCTTATTTTTTCAATTTTTAAAATATCTATTAATGATTCATGAACTAGCATCTTTCAAGCACAATGCGCATGAGACAATGTCCAACAATACAATTTGATCATTACTAATGCTCAATAATAGTTTATACGGGCACGAGTGCACGACCATATTAGACGATAGGTACATCAATGTTCTAAAAGGTGATAAACGCTAGTCGGGCATCAGCCCAACGCCTAGCGCCTAGGCGGCTAGACGGGCGCTTAGGTGGGGACTAGTCGGAGACACATTAATTGTATTTTTATCACTATTTCTGCATAAATATGATAAGTAATACATAGGAAAACAGTAATATCGTGTTTGTGTGTGTATCAAAGATATATACACACAAATTAACATGCATGAATGATAGAATTGTCACATGCAATAATATATGATAACTAATCACTTAATTGCATTATTATGTTATAAATATTACTCCCTCCATCCCACTAATATTGTCCCATTTTACCTTTTCGAGAAATCCCACTAAAATTGTCTCTTAACAAATTTGGTAAAATTTGTGTGGCTCTAAATCATTCTTACTTTATTCTTACTTTATCAATTAATATCAGCCACACAAACCCACTTTTTGTTATAATCGTGTCACTCCCTTTCGTCCCCATATTAGTGGGACGGAGGTAGTAAATAATAATAAATTTTAAGTATATATACAAACATATATAGTTTTTATCTTAATTGAAGAAGTACACGCACGACGGTGCTCATATTCTCGAACCGGAGGTGAGGAAGAAATCCTAAAACCTTTGTCATTTCAAATTAGAATTCGTTGGATGAGACGTTGACCTACGAGGAGAAACCGGTGCAAATACTTGACACCAAGACAAGAGAAACTAGAAGAAAGAATGTGAAAATGGTGAAGGTGTAGTGGTCCAAGTGTCTAACCACTTAGCTGAGAATGCGACTTGGGAGATTGAGGAGGATATGTGTAGACGCTATCACGAACTTTTTGAGTAAGGTAATAACTTGAGAACTCTTTTGTGACTTTGTTCGGATTTCATGATTAAGAGGTGCATATATCTCTCTATTCGTGATTAAAATTAAAGATACATATAGCTCTTACAAAAAAAATGTTCGATGAATCCAGACGCCCTAGGCGGCGATTAGGCGCCCTGGATGGCCAACTATTCAGCTAGGTGCCAAATCAATTAGGCGGAAACTAGTCGGACGCCTAGAGCGATTTTTAAAACAGTGAGTACATATAGTCATGAACCTTCTCAGACATCATGTTTAACACAACTTCAAGCATGGGTCACCCAATGAAAATATCTTGATCTTGTCAATTATTCCTTGTTATAGGCTTTTGGTGTGTGAGGTTGCTAACCACCGGATATAGTAAACATCTTCTATTAACATTGGTCTTTGAACTAATTACAATTGTTGAAGATTCCATATCTATCATAAGTCCATAAGTAAATGGCTAAAATGTCTAATGAGAAAACATAACGAAGACTAGGCTGAATTTAATTTTCTGAAAAGAAAATTGCATCTTGAAAAGAAAATGCCTAATTATTGGTTTTTGGAATATTTAAAACATACCTTACTGGCTGGCGCAGACCACACTATGTGACTACCATCTTATTTTGTGTGGCAGATCCGGACTTCTCCGTTTCAGTAGCCGCCGAGGTAACAACACATTTGGGCTGTCTCTATCCTCTGCTTCTAGCAGCAAAAAGCCGAAATGTACGGCGAGCAACGATGGTGGCTAGCAGCTGCGACGAGCCTGGACGAACGGCGTGAGACGGCTACCTTCTAATGGCAGAGACAGATCCAGCGGCGTCGCATCTTCCAGTGTGGAAAGATAGAGGAGAGTAAAGATCTGAAAGCTCGCCGCTGGTCCACCGGAGATCTGGATTTTGGATTCAAATCTGAATTTCAGATAGGAGATGAAATCGACGTTCCAGCTCCTGCACCAGATATTAGCCCACCTGAAAAGGTGCCGTTGCCTGGCAAGGAAACGCCGGAACGACGGATGACGGGATTCACAATACTCGTCTTAGCAGCAGACTCTGAGGTGAGGACGCCCACCGAAGACTGGGTTTGAAGCCACGGAAGGAAAAGACAAAAAAAATTGTCCGTTGGATTGAAGTTTTCTAAAACTTGTTTTCTAGAACTAGAGCTAATTCCTTTATAAAAAAAAAAAAAACTGGAGGTAATTCAAAAACTTGTTTTCACTCTAGGCCTATAAATAATTAAATAAATAAATACTCCGTAAATTGACAGTAGCTTTAAAAAAAAATTAACAGTATATAACAAATGAGCATTGTAACTCATTGGTTCTCCTCCTAATACAAAGTTGAAAGATTGTGAATTTAATTTATGCAAGTGTCAACACTATTTGAATGATTATATATTTATACATAGTAATAATATTAATAATATGGAAATGTTCTTTTGTTAAAGATTCTGTCACAGAGGTATAAATTTATTAAGTTTTATATACATAAATTAGTTAAAATAATGAATCGGAGTTTATCATCTTTCACTAGAAAACTCAAAGATGGTTAAATAAAATGGGATAGATGTAGTATTACATACTACGTATTATCTTAAATCACACCCAGATTTGATGACATGAAATGACTAGCGAATGATGTGAAATAGCTAACGATTGAAATAGGTGACATGACCAATGATATGGGAAAAACTATCCTCATATGGGAAGTAACTTCAAAAAAAATTGGAAAATAAGTTTTAGAACAACCCTTCTCCCAAAAACTAAGTCAGTATAACGGTATATAACTTGTTTGGTGTGGTTTTTCTGAAGTTGCAAGAAACTAGATTCTAAAAACAGGATTCTTCTTCTATTTTTGAAAAACAAAATCAAAAGAAAAATATACGGAGTACCAATTATTTTAAAATAATATAGCCATATTATTCCAAAGTAATTTGGTACGACAAATTAAGGCATTTAGGTGGGGTGATTGTCCGAGACTCCTTAATCGGCATCAATCATCAATATCAAAATTTCAAAAAAAATGTGTAAAACAACTCTTGTCAATTACAAACGCATAAATTCCATCAATCTATTGGCCATGCCAATGCGAAATACATCAACTCTCATTGTTAGAGAAAAATATATCATATTAAATGGAATTGACATTGCGAAAAATCATTTTTACATAAAATGGCGTTGCTAGAGTTTTACACTCATTGCAGCTTGTAAGCTACAAAAAAGAAATTAGTAGGTTAAAATCTCACTTTTATATAATTGTACATATTCCACTTTATCCAAGATCTTTGAAGCCACAAACTATAACTAGCTTGTCTAATAATTTATCAATATAAAATTATGGTCACACTATTTATGAAGTAAACTGCTAACACATTTCACATGTCCTCTTCTATATTGCTACAAATTATTGTTGTTAATGTCATTACATAAGAAGTACTAAATTTGATGTCTCACCTTATATAATTAGATTAACATTTCAACGGAAAGTTTGGAGTGAAAATTTATAACAATTTAATTACTATATTACATAAAAATTATAACTTTCCTTGCATAAAATATAGACTTTTACATGTTTAGGAGTATTTAACTTTCTACCTTCATTAGCGGTTGTACTTTTTTCTACACCTTAATAAAACTTTTATTTTTGCTGCAAAAAAAAAACATGTTTAGGAATATTTTATTTCAACTAATTGTGCTCATTACATAATAAGGCTGCTTGCAATTCACAAGTCAATAACCCAATTCTAACCAATTCACTCAAATAAACACTCAAACCTATGTATTTTGGGGTGCCAAGTATGTGGATGGCACCCCTGACCGGGAGAATTTGTAGGAATATTGACGGAAGAAGGGACGGACTCATGCAGCAGGCGCTCAAGCAATAGTGCATAGTTGATATTTCCCTTTCTTTTTCTAAAATCCGTAGTTGATATTTTCATGTCTATAGCAATTTATTTGAAATTAAAGTTAGGTGTTCATATTTTAATACCTATCAAAATATTATTATGTTTACATAAAAATGTTAGTTTTTTAAAATAATAATTATTGGTATAAAAAATGTCACATATTTTTCGTGTAATTTTTCGTAATTTAACTGAAAATCATGGTTTCCGCTAAATGAGCATTATTGTACTATTTATGAGCATTAGACATGTCTGTTGAGTATTAGGAGTTTAATATTGAGCATCGTGATGTTTGCTTCATAAATTCTAATTCACTTTCTTTATCTTATTTTTTAATAAAAATTTATTAACTTATATCTATTATCAACTTCTATGAATTTCAATACGTGAATCTAATGCAATTTGGTACTTTTGAAATATGTATTGATACTTTTGAAACATGCATTGATATTAGAGTATCAAACCTTCTCTATTGAGTATTAGAATCATGCAATTGACTATCATGATCTATGTTCTCATGTTTATAATCAACTCTTATGTGAATTTAATGTAATATGGTACTTTGAAATATGCATTGATATAACATTTAGAAATGAGCATAACTCATTTGAGAGTTAACTTGTAAAATGTATGTTCATTCCTTTTAGACGTAATAGTCATTTCTAATATGTTCAATATTCATTTGTGCATGTTCATCACTACATTAACTAATTTGAGTTTAATATAAAACTCATTTCTATAATATGCAGATGTAATAGATTAATCATAAAAAATTGCTCAATTCTTGTGTGTGTGTGTGTGCGTGCGTGCGTGTGTGTGTGTGTGTTTATCCCGGAAGGACAGAATAGTGTGGGATTTAATTGCTTCTTGGCTTGGCTCTCAAAAGCCATTACTTTGACAAATAAAATTGATGTCAAAGAGGCACCACTAGAGATCGAACTGGCTTCAAATAAGGACATTATTCCCTATGACTTAGAGATGGAACTCATGCCATCCTCTAGTTGGTGGAATGGATATATTGGTAAGTCTGACCTCTCCATTTCAGAAGCCCTCTTTGAAGTTGATATTGAGAAATTGGATTGCATTGATAATTCTTTAGAGTGGCACTCTACTGACGACTTCCACAATTCTGGGCAAACTGGATTTGACTCTCTAAAGGAATTCATTCAAAATACAATTACTAAGGGGGTGGACTCACTTTCTAAATTTTTACTTATTGAGTTCGACAAAATTCTCGTATCAGCTTTAACTAATTGTGACTCTTTGAACAACAAACCTGTTGATGCGGAGAAAGCTACCGATTGTGCAAACACAGGAGTCGGGCTTCCTAGGGATGTTTCTATAGGTAATCAATACTCTGAGGATTTTGATAGTGAAGGTGTCTATGAAGAGAAATTATTTTTATACTCTGGGGATGATTTCTATGGTCATGCTTCTGAAAGTGGGAAGAGGGCACCTATTTCAATGATGGAAGATCTATGGGGTTCCAATACAAATCAAGATATTTGTAACAAAGTCCAATTTGTTACCAGAGAAAATTGTCTTCTTACAGAGAACCTGAATACTCAAATTAAGATTTACAGAAAAAATAAACAAAGATCGCGTCTTATGAGGACTAAATCCCAAACACGAGTAGAATTTGCAAGTATCGACTGAGTTGTTTCTTAGGGCATTTTTGGGAGGGGCATTTTGGAATTACTTGGGGTTTGGTTGTTTTTTTGTATTTTTGTTTATCCCTTTCTTCACATTCCTTCTTAGATCATCTTTCTCTCTTGTATTTTCCCTTTCTTCGTCATTAATGAAGTTTTGCTTTTCATAAAAAATGTTGTTTGAATAGTTAATTTATCAGTACTTTAGTTTCTATAAAAAAAATACTCGTTTGAATATAGCGTAAAGCTCATTTTTGTACTCATTTGGAAGTAGTAAAAAATTATTTAAATCAAAACAAAGAATTGCTACATATTATGCGAAATAAATGATACATAGTCAATGGGTTTGTTTGATATTCGGCTTCTCGGATGAAAATGCCATTTTTTAACTAATAAACGCTGATATTTGCAGCGTTTATGCAAAAATGAACAAAAAATCAGTTTGGAGATTTTACGAAGAGTTGGTGGGCATCCCTATTTAGAAGATAATTGTAAGGAAAATAATATATCACTATTACTGAAAGAAATAGATGGAGATGTTTCGGTGAAATTATCGTTCCCTTTTATGTTTTGTGAATTCAATTGACTCAATTTTGATAAGAAATTGATAATCATTGAAATAAAGAAAATAATGGAGGAGACATGTGCAATGTGCAAGTCCGCAACATGAATACTTAATTAGAGAGAAAAATAGGGAAGCCAAATGCATCCATCACAATTAGACTGAAACTAATTGTAAAGAATCAAAATTTTACTCGGTCGTACCATACACGTGGTACAACTGAGTGTACCATATAAGTTGCTTAGGTCGTCTAACTCTTCTAACAATTTGACGAATTGATTACTTATTTGCATCTTTTAGTTCTTTAGTTTTTAGTTCCTTTTAGTTTTTTAATTAGTTCTTTAGTTGATTTGAACTTAGTCCGCAAGGGCCTAGTGCGCAGGGTATATTATATAGAGTATTAAAATAAATTAAATAATGACTCGGTAACTGCATATATAAATATATGAGTATAAATTACCGATTTATAATTTATTCATTAATTAACTCAAATAACTCAATAACTCAATTAGGTGTGTTAAATTGTTAATTGATTATAATAATTATTTTTCTCAAAGTTGAAGTTGATAGCTAGATTATCTAATTTGACTATGCTCTAGATTGACAAAATTGTTAGCTAAATTTGATTGGGAGTGGTGTTCTTACGAATTTTGTTCTTCGAAAAATCACAGAATAAGCTATGAGAATATCGATATCTTTTTTATCAATTTTGGATCTTTTGCTTTTGAAGAACATTCTCATTACATCAATAGTATATATAATGCATTTTATATATAGTATAATTTACTTCTATACAATAAATATTCTATTTTTCATATTGTTATGTTTAATGAAAACATATTCAAACAAAATGTCTACATGACTGTCTAGGGTCTCATAAATGCTCTAGACGGCCCTGATAGGAGTAAAAGTAATTTGGAATTCCAAAATTAGAACACTTCATTTTTATTCCCTAAATATGTGTTATTATTGCAATGCTTGGAAAATGCTCCAAGTATGACACTAGTACTACCATATAAAAGAT